GCTGTTCTGCTTTCTTTCACAGGGCACAGAAACACAATCCAACAGCAGAGGTTTGTGCCCAGCAGACAGGGACTGGGCTGGAAGCCCAGAGACTTGCGCTCTCCTCCTTTGCTGCTTGCCCACTGGTTGCCCCTGGCAAGTCCCTTTCTCTGCTGCTTCCCCACCCGCCTGCAGAATCCCAAACTCCCTGTAAAGGATCCAAGGCTCATCCAGGCAAAAGGTCTGGAAGTACTAGGGACTAGTAACAGTATTTGCTGTACTTGTTAACATTTAGTATTTTGAAAATAGGTATTACAAGGCCATTGGTAAGTTGTAATTAGGCAAGTACCACATTAACAGTTGCCACCTTAATTCTGTCCTACACTGTCTTCCAAAGAGGCAGAGTCACTATTAGAAAGCAGCAGTGAGCATGCAGACGAAAACTTGGGTGCTTGTGCACTCTCAGATTAATTAAGGTTTCATGGCCAATCATAAAATTCACAGTTTAACTTTGAGCTCTGCAAGCCACTTATGGTTATTTTGGAAATGTTCTTGTACATAAGTTCCTCTTTCCTACAGAAAAGAACAGGAATAATACCAAAATCCAACAGCTTGAATATTACAGTCCATAATCTGTAGCAGAGTTACAGATCTGGCAAAAGCAAAGGCCACCACACTCTGGAGACCAGGGCTGTGCTGAGGGAAGCTCATACCCCACTTTGCCTCCTGGGGATGAGCCCAGAAACAAGCTCTCGGTATGGAGACCATCCTGGGTGTTCTTCCTAACCCAACTGCAGATCCAACACTGGTGCCAGCCTAGACATGTGCGCTGAAAGCAACCTGCTTCATGACCCAGCACAGTGCAAAGACCTGCTCACATCAGAGGTGATGCCTCCCACAGCTCTGTCTCTGGCACACTGTCCCCACTGGTGCGGGGCTGGTGGAGCCCTGCTTGGCAGTGGTTTTACTTAGCTCTCTGTCAGGCTGCCAAGAATTTCCTGAGGTATGTGAGCAGCAGGAGGGAGACTGTTTTTACAAAGTTTGTAACTCCCCTAAACATGACTGGAATTTCCATGGAGAACGATGGCTCAGATCGAGCCTGAACACCACCTTCCCGAGGACTTCCAAAAGTCTGGAGCAAACCACAGATGAATATGAGCATCTCAGCAAGGACTGCCAGATTCATCTACAGGAACCGCCAGTGACCTAACTGTCAAACTGGCCACCCCTGACTAGGAGAAAATAGAAAAGTTTTTTTCAAAACCTCTCTCCTCCCATCCTCCTCCCTGAAAGTCAAAGTTAGTAGCAGTCAGACAAGCCTTTTTATTAACACATTAGCACTGTGGGTTACATTGTTTTAGTCTCTCTACATGTGGGAATTCTGGTCTTGGACCCTGAGCCAAGGCTAGAAAAGCATCTCCCAAAGCCATGTTACTATGTCCCCATGAGCGCTTCCTCTCCCCAATGCCACAGATCTGTGTCTCTTCAAGAATGGGTCAAAAAAACGGAGTCCCAGAGACAAAATCTATAGGACTAAAAACCCCAAAGGCTGAAAATAACTAAGTGCAACAGTTTTCCCTCAAGGGAGTCTTGAAAGTGCCTTCCCAGCTGGAAAGTCTAAACACCACTGTCTCCTCTTTAAGCAGGCAGCAAACAAATAACTGGCCTCAGCTGCGTCCCAGCTTGCCCCATAGCTCCCTTCTTCCCAGGAAAAAAAAGGCCTTCCCACTACCACAGCCCTTCAGATGTGAGGGCAGGGGCACGTCACAGCACAGCTTCACCCACCAGGTCAGTAACTCATCTTCCCAACAGGCCAAGCATGACCTGCTCTCAGACCCAGTATGGCAAGATAGAGACTTTGCCTCCCAAGAACAAACATGACTCATCGCTCTCAGGATAAGTTTTCGGAGCACAACACAGCCCAATGCCACCAAAGCTTGAGGACTCTGGGACCAAGCCAAGGTTCTATGGCTGTGCTCTGCAGAGGCAGCAGCCGAGATGTCTCCTCACTTAACACACAAGGTTGCCTTCACCAAAACTTCTTAGCTGCCCCCTGTGGCCATAAGTAACAGCTGCCTCCAAAAAGTCACTACGGAGAAAACTTGAACAGCTTTTAAAAACCTGCACTTCTAGGTATTTGAACCAGTACCAAAGACCCACTGCTGGCCAAGGAAGCTCTTCATCCACACCAGATTACGATGGATGCAATCTGTGCCCTACAGAGAAGCATGAGAGAAAAAAATAGGATCTTGCTGTATCCCTTTAATAGTGAGAACTTCTAGAAAAAGGCAGAAAACCATGGCTGCAGAGCCCATGAGTCCAGAGGTTCCCAACGAGATAGAAATAGCAAAGGAAGACTTGAACAATACAGACGTCTGTAATAGAAAGGGTGTAAACAGCCAAATCGGGTCACAGAGGAATAGCACTGGAACAGCAGGCAAAACAAAAATAGCAGGAAAGGAAAGATAAATAAAAAATTCCTAAAATATATGAGAAGCAAACAGACTGACAAGGAAACAAGAGGGCCATTGAGTGGAAAAAGGCGAAGAACCGTGCAGAGGCAACCAGGGTAGGCCAGGGATTTCATCCAGCCCCAGAGGGGAAGGCACAGGGAGGAAAGAAGACAGCTGAACTACTTCATTGCAGGAGTGAGGAGGGGAAGAGGAAGATGACTTTGTCAGGAAATTACAACCATCTGCACTTAGGAACAGCAGCATCGGCTGAGCAGTTTCACGTTCACTCTGCAGGTGACACACACAGCCTATTCTTCCGCCAGGTTGGATGGCTGTGGTGGACCTTCCTTCCCCATTCTCCTAGCCCACCACTCACCACTTCCCTGCTCTGCTGGCTTGGTCTTTCCTCCAGTTCTTTCAGCTAGATGAGACTATTTTGGAACAGCAATGAGTGTTGCAGGTAAAAAGGGGTTCTGTAATTCCTGCACTGGGAAGGGGGGTAGATTCGGACAGCCCTGCATGAAGATGAAAATGGTCTCTGAATCTCTTACTGCTCCCTGCTCCACCTTCTCTGCTCCCACGGTAGCTCCCCTGACGCCTGGCACAGAGGGCAGCTGCCAGTTGCTCTTCTCTTCCAGAGATGACTTCTGCCTGTGACTTTCCATTCTCCCCAGCTCCCTGAAACCCAGACACCGCTGAAGAGACAGTTATGTCCACAGAAAATCCTTCTATGGGTCAAATGACATGGGGCTTGTGCACACAGCAGAGGCATGAACCCTCGTGGGTTTTTTTCCCTGTACTCTCCATACCTCAATCTGCCCTGCCTTTCTTAGACAAAAAAGTTCCTGCAACAGGTAAGAAAGAGAAAGGCTGACTTACAGAAAAATTCCAACTCTTTGCACAATGTGGTTCCCAAGCTCTGGCAAAAAGGATACTATGTTCAACACCTGAATAACAAGCCCAGGATGCACACAGCCCAGCCCAGAACACAGTAAGGCCCTGTGTCAGAATTCAGAGCAAGGGGGTCAGAGAGATGAACCTGGAAAGTCTCATGACAAGTAAAAACTGATGGGGAGCAGAGCACCTAATGAAAAAGAGACAGCAAAGAAGATCACAGGTGCCTGGGAAGGAGTCTCCATCGCCTGCCTGGAACTGGACACCACGTGTCACTGGATCAATGGAAAGAGCAAGGGCCCAGCTGCAGAGCTCATCTCCCCTTCAGTGGGCACCAGGAACACACACAGTGTGTGATGGCTGTTGCTCCTGAGATGTTTTGGCTCAGGGCTGAGGATCTTCACCCCCCACCTGCAGTGAAGTCAGTCCTGCTTCTTTTGCAGACAGAAAGCCAAGACCCCCCAGTGCTAACCCCAACCCCTCACCTATGACAGAACAGGCTTGAAGAAAGAGCAGTTCTAAATAGGTGGCACGGCTGTACTTCTTAATTATTATTTCTCTTTACTGTTTATCTAACATTCCTATACCCACCTAGGATAAGTTTGGTGCTTCCAAGTTGCCCTCTGTAATGACCAAGGTTGGTAACTTACCTTCCCAATGGAAGCTGTAGCTCTCATTTAACACAGCAAAATCCAGGTCAGCAGAGACCTCAGGAGGTCTCTGGTCCAACCTCCTGCTCAAAGCAGGGTCTGCTCTGAACTCAGACTTGGGTTACTTGGGACTTTATCCAGGCTGGTTGTGTAAACCTCCAAGGATGCAGAAGACACAACTGCTCTGGACAATCTGCTCCAGAGCACGGGGAACAGCTTTTCCTTCAACACAGCCTCGACCTCTTTTCTTTCCACTTTATGCTCATTAGCTCTCATTCTCCCACCTGGCTCCATCTTCCCAATCCCACCCTCTCAGGGGCCATCAGGCGGCCACCAGGTGCCCTGATGCCACCTCGTCCCCTGGTGCCAGGCCTCGCTGCCTCAGCCCCTCCTCACCTCGGCAGCCCAGGAGCCTGTGCCAAACCCGCTATGGTTTATTAACACTCTTCCTCGGGCAGAGACACCCCCCCCCAGATTGTATGTTTAAAAATCCTACCCGATTTATCACACCAGAGGGGCTGGCAGCACCCAGCGTGGCCCCTGCAGGGGCTGAGGCAGCAGGAGGGCAGGAGCTCCTTCATGGCCGCTCTCTGTCCCCTCACACTGCCCGGCTCCCCGCGCCCACCCAGCCGCGGGCACCGCGCTCCCCTCACGGCGGGAGGACGACCACAAACCTCCCCGCCGCGGCCCCTCGCCCCGGGGAGGCCGTGCCGGGAGGCGGCCGCCC